GTCTGTCCAAGTAGAAGTTCCAAGTTTGTCGAAGACTGAAGATGTCCTCTTAGCAGCCATTTTCCCCCAGTGATGTCGGCTGCGTAAAAGGTATGAACCTTTAGTGTTCACCCACTAAAACCCACACAATTACATCCCAAAAATTCGCCATTCAGAGCGAATTTGTCGCCCAGCAGATCAGCGATTAATGGCTCCGTCCTCCTGAGCAGTAGAGAAATCCCCTCCGCACAACATCTGAAGACCGTAATGTTGTGTGAGGTATCAAGTCAAGGGGAACAGTTGTGTAGGTTAGTGAAAGTGATGGTTGAAATCGTTCCCAAAATCATCCAAAACTTTCTCATAACAGAAGGTCACTCAGAATAGCGCCTCCATAAGAAAAAGAAGTCTGTCCAAGTAGAAGTTCCAAGTTTGCCGAAGACTGAAGATGTCTCTTAGCAGCCATTCTCCCCCAGTGATGTCAGTGCGTAAAAAGTAGATCACTTTAAGTTGTCGGCCGCCCAACTGAAATTGCCTCCCAAATCACCAAAGCAATGTCGCCGTTCAGAGCGAATTTTTGTCCCAGGCAATCAGCGATTGCATGGCTCCGTCCTCCCACACGAACAGTAGAGAACGCCCATCGCCTCACAAATCTGAAGAGCTGTAAAAGGTTGTTGAGTTATCTTAATCAAAGAGGAACAGTTGTGTAGGTTAGTGAAAGTGATGGTTGAAATCGTTCCCAAAATCATCCAAAACTTTCTCATAACAGAAGGTCACTCAGAATAGCGCCTCCATAAGAAAAAGAAGTCTGTCCAAGTAGAAGTTCCAAGTTTGCCGAAGACTGAAGATGTCCTCTTAGCAGCCATTCTCCCCCAGTGATGTCGGCTGCGTAAAAGGTATGACTTTATTTGTTACCGCACTAAAAACCCCCGCAATACATACTAAAATTGTCGCCTTCCGAGCGAATTTTTGTAAACAGCAGATCAGCGATTAGATGGCCTCGTACACTCTCTGAGCAGTAAGAGAAATCCCTCCGCACAACATCTGAAGATCCTAAATGTTGTGTAGGTATCAATGTCAAGGGAAACAGTTGTGAGGTTGTTAGTGACAAGTCTTTGATGGTTGCCCAATCGTTTCCCAAAATCATCCAAACTTCTCAATATAAAAACAGAGAGGTCACTCCAGTAATAGCGCCTCCATAAGAAAAGGAAGTCTGTCCAAGTAGAAGTTCCAAGTTTGTCGAAGACTGAAGATGTCCTCTTAGCAGCCATTTTCCCCCAGTGATGTCGGCTGCGTAAAAGGTATGAACCTTTAGTTGTTACCCACTAAAACCCACCCAATTACATCCAAAAATTTCGCCATTCAGAGCGAATTTTGTCCGCAGCCAGATCAGGCAATTAAATACTTGTCTCCTTCCTCCTGAGCAGTAGAGAAATCCCCTCCGCACAACATCTGAAGACCGTAATGTTGTGTGAGGTATCAAGTCAAGGGGAACAGTTGTGTAGGTTAGTGAAGTGATGGTTGAAATCGTTCCCAAAATCATCCAAAACTTTCTCATAACAGAAGGTCACTCAGAATAGCGCCTCCATAAGAAAAAGAAGTCTGTCCAAGTAGAAGTTCCAAGTTTGTCGAAGACACTTGTCCTTACGCAGCCATCTTCCCCAGTGATGTCCGCTGCCTAAAAGGTATGAACCTTCAGTTGTTCGCCCACTGAATCCTACCCAATCACCAACAATGTCGCCGTTCAGAGCGAATTTTTGTCCCAGCAGATCAGCGATTGATGGCTCCGTCCTCCTGAGCAGTAGAGAAATCCCCTCCGCACAACATCTGAAGACCGTAATGTTGTGTGAGGTATGCAACAAGGGGACATGTGTAAGTTAGGAAAGTGATTGGTTTTGAAATCGTTCCTCAAAATCATCCAAAACTTTCTCATAACAGAAGGTCACTCAGAATAGCGCCTCCATAAGAAAAAGAAGTCTGTCCAAGTAGAAGTTCCAAGTTTGCCGAAGACTGAAGATGTCCTCTTAGCAGCCATTCTCCCCCAGTGATGTCAGCTGCGTAAAGGTATGATCCTTTAAAGTGTTCCAGACCACTGATCGCTACTCCAATCACCCAACATAGCCGCACGTTCAAGAGCGAATTGTCCCACAGATCAGCGATTGATGGCTCCGTCCCCTGAACAAGTAGAAAATCCCCTCCTCGACAACATCTGAAACTGTAAATGTTGTTGGTATCAAGTCAAGGGGAACAGTTGTGTAGGTTAGTGAAAGTGATGGTTGAAATCGTTCCCAAAATCATCCAAAACTTTCTCATAACAGAAGGTCACTCAGAATAGCGCCTCCATAAGAAAAAGAAGTCTGTCCAAGTAGAAGTTCCAAGTTTGCCGAAGACTGAAGATGTCCTCTTAGCAGCCATTCTCCCCCAGTGATGTCGGCTGCGTAAAAGGTATGAACCTTTAGTTGTTACCCACTAAAACCCACCCAATTACATCTAAAAATTTCGCCCTTCAGAGCGAATTTTGTAACAGCAGATCAGCGATTAATGGCTCCGTCCTCCTGAGCAGTAGAGAAATCCCCTCCGCACAACATCTGAAGACCGTAATGTTGTGTGAGGTATCAAGTCAAGGGGAACAGTTGTGTAGGTTAGTGAAAGTGATGGTTGAAATCGTTCCCAAAATCATCCAAAACTTTCTCATAACAGAAGGTCACTCAGAATAGCGCCTCCATAAGAAAAAGAAGTCTGTCCAAGTAGAAGTTTCCAAGTTGTCGAAGACTGAAGATCCTCTTAGCAGCCATTTTCCCCCCAGTGATGTCGGCTGCGTAAAAGGTATGAACCTTTAGTTGTCACCCACTAAAACCCACACAATTACATCCAAAAATTTCGGGACGATTCTAGCAGCATTTTGTCGCCAGCAGAATGCGCGATCAATAGCTCCTATCCTCGCTAGACCGTAAGAGAAATTCCCCTTCGCGCACAACAACTCTAAGACGCGTAAGTTGTGTGAGGTACTAAGTCCAAGGAAAGTTTGTGTAGTTAGTGAAAGGTGATGGTTGAACCTGCGATTCCAACAATCATCAAAACTTTCTCAATAAACATAAGGTCACTCAGAATAGCGACGGCCTCCATAATAAAGAAGTCTGTCCAAGTAGAGTTCTCAAATTGTCCGAAGACATGTCCTCTAGCAGCCATCTCCCCCAGTGATGTCGCTGATAAAAGGTATGAACTCATCATGTTCGCTCTCATCGAAATCCTACCCAACTCAGCCACAAGTCGCCGTTCAGAGCGATTTTTGTCTCAGCAGATGCAGACCGATTGATGCTCGGTCGCTCCTGAGCAGTAGAGAAATCCCCATCGCAGAAAAAAAAAACAACATCTTGAAGACCGTATGTTGGTGGAGGTATCTAAAGTTCAAGGGATACAGCTTGTGTAGGTATGAAATATGGTTGAAATCGTTCTCGAAAATCATTCAAGAAACTTCTCATAACAAAGGTCCACTCAGATATTGCGGCCCCATATAGAATAAAGAAGTCTGTCCAAGTAGAAGTTCCAAGTTTGCCGAAGACTGAAGATGTCCTCTTAGCAGCCATTCTCCCCCAGTGATGTCGGCTGCGTAAAAGGTATGAACCTTTAGTTGTTCGCCCACTGAATCCTACCCAGTCACCAACAATTTTCGCCATTCAGAGCAAATATTTGTCCCAGCAGATCAGCGATTAATGGCTCCGTCCTCCTGAACAGTAGAGAACTCCCCCGCCACAACATCTGAAGACTGTCTATTTGTGGGGTATCTAGGTCAAGGGAAACAAGTTGTGTCGGGTGAATTTATAATTTATGGTTTGAAACCAGTTCGATTCGCCCGCTGACGCCGATAGCGCTCTTCTTTAGCCGGCTTTAGCCGATCTGGCCTGGATTTGGCCAGCGGCCCGCGATAATTTTAACACTGCCAACTTTTCGAACGATTGGCGTGCTCATGATGGCGCTTGTGGTGATCGAATATTACAGACAGGGCAACGTTGCGGATCCTGCATTCCTAGGCATACTTATATTTGCAACAGGGGTGTGGTCCGCCCCGTGACGCACGTACCATCACAATACATGTCGAAAAAGTTGCGTTCAAATTATGCGCGCCTGGCGAAGCCAGGCCAGCTCGGCGAAGCCGAGCTAAAGAGAAGGAGGAGAGCTCGGCGTCAGCCGGGCGATCCGACTGTGTCATATATGCGCTTTGCTAAGACTGAGCCTATTCTCTGAGGGAAACTTTTCCTTTCCGCAAGTTTCAGCCCAGCAGAGGCGCTAATAGTGCGGTATGGAGAAACGATGTCACACTCGGACAGGGACATGGAAATAAAATCTGACAAAGTTTCAGCGAGAAATTTTTTGAGTTCTTGAGTATTGCCAAATTTCTTTATCCCTTTTGCGTCTTTTTCGTTTCCGGCCTCCGTGACAGGAAGGGGGGGGGGGTCTATCCAAAGACCCTGCATCTGGGGAGGGTCGATTTTAGCGCGAAAAATGATCACAACGCGAAGCGCGGCCTTCGACATGGAAACCAATGGCCCGTTTTATCTTGAAGAGTGGAACCATAGACCATGAATAAGGTACATGCGTGAAACGCTGCGATGGATGAACGCATGCGAAGTTCAATAGAGCATCTTTCACTCGCTCAAGAAATCTAGACTTTTAGAGTTCAGTCTCTACATTTTGCTCCATTACTAACACATTCATTGAATCTTTGAAGGACCGAACTCGGCAAACGCTAACTTTTCATCCTTGTGACGTCGCCCGACTGAAGCGAAGATATTGTGGCTCCTATTCCGAGTGCGCCAGTTGACGACGTCCCCTACTTCAAAACCAGATCGGCGGTGAAGAGTAACTTTTATGACCTCCCTTCCAAGCCGTTGTAAGGTGACCTATGATTGAATTCAATCGATAATGTGGGCGCTGAAACACTGTGTCAGCGCTAAACATATGGAGCTGATTACGGGATAGTTTCAAGCAGGAAGTTATTTTTGCTGTAATATATGTTTTCTTATATGTTTAGGAGAAGACATGGAAGACGTCGACGTAACAGGTAATCAAAATATCAAAATGGTGGAGGTTTTGCTTACTGCTTCCCTCCTTGTTAGACACACTTTACCCGATTTTTTCCCGAGTATGTACACTAAATATCCTGGAGGTGGAGGAGGCGTGGCTGCGTGCTACATCCGAACATGGCGAAGGATGCGTTTCTCGTGTGGTTGTTTCATTTGAGACAATTGTCATCCTGCCTTATGCTGGAGAAAGACGACTACAATTGCCCCAGAACGGCAATATCCCTCCAGAAGTGAAGCCGCCGCCGCATTTGAATGAAGTATGCAGTCACGCCCTACCTGAATGTTTCCGTCTGTAGTATAGTCTATTATTTTTGCCTTACCTGCCTTTTCTCAATTGTTCCTAGAGGCGACAAATCGAGAGATGACTCCAGAGGCCGAAGGGACTCCAAAGGAGACTCGAAAGAGGACAGTCGCAGCGACAGTGGCTCTGAAGAGCGACATCGCAGTGATGAAAAGGGTTCAAGAGATGAAAAGTCGAAAAGTGATGGTTCCAGATGCATTCGACTTACACGTGCCCTGAACGCTCAAAAAGGTCTCGGAGTGAGGACACAGATCAATCAGGTACTGAATTTTACTCTTCCTCCAAGGTTTGTAAAATACTGAAACTGATCACCTGTTGCTCTTTTTTTGCCTTTCTTCGCCTCAGAGAAAGGCAGGGAACCTCGAGACAGGGTGTGGAGGAACTAATTAAGATTACAAGAAAAACCCAACATGTGATGGGTTTGCGCAAATAAATGTGCATGAGGAGGCATCAAATTCCCGCTGAGTCTTAATGACACGGATCAGCTGGTCGTATGGGCGTGGTTGGGCCTGAAATTGCACCTTACTAACTGACGTCTTTCTTCCTTATCGTGTCAGCAAGAAGTGCGACGCCAACGAGTAAGGCACAGTAGCTAAGCAGGCACCGCTCTTACGATAGGCTCGGACTTTGCTCGGATGAGCAGGGGTCAGAGCACATCTTCGTTGGGCATTTCCCAACAGGGGGGGGGGGCGGTTGGGGCGTTATTTGACCCTGACAGGGACGTGCGTTCGGCAAGAATTTGCCCAGTTGTTGACTTTCGCGGGTTTCCGTTCCACTTTTTCACATGTGGCCATATACCACGCCCCCCCCTCCACTCCCCTGCCTCCTCACTCGCTCGAGAGTTCGAAACCGTATTGTCAGAAGAAGGAGGGAACTAGGGGGGGGGGGAGGTGGCACGGACTCGATCAAAATCCCCAAGCAATGATGTGCCCCGTCTGGGGTAGCCTGATTCTTCTCACATTGAATTCTCGATTCCGGGACACTTTTAGACGCTGTCTTCTCCAGTAATAGCCCTTCAGACTCCACCTGCCTTTTGAGGGTTCATCGTATATTCCCGTTTTTATGTCTTTGAAATTATTATTTGCCCTTTAGTTCTCATTGTGATCTTCTCCTTTGCGAATACTTCGACTCATCTTTTTTTCTATTCAGAACACACATTTTCTTGATTTGTCGTCCGTCTACGGATCTGAAGAATGCGAAGGAGCGTCAGTTCGATCGTTCGTCAATGGAGAATTGAAAACGTACAGCCATAATGGGGAACTTCTACCACCGCAGAACAAAAACGTACTAGTTTTTTTGGTATTCCGCTCGTCTCTTCACATTTTGCTCATGGTTAGGCGTTTAGAGTCAAACTGGAGTCTCGCTTCAATCCTGTTTGCAAAACTCTACGTACCCAGGGCTATAGTCCCCATGGGCAATTGAAAACGAGTTTCCCTAGACATGTTGGGCTACTTGGCGCATGGATATGCTCATAGGAACGCGCCCGTTTCCGTGAAAAAGATCACTTGAACAAAAACTCCGAAGGCAAGGTACAGTCTTGTTCGCTGCGGATGATGGGGCGGGTCAGCAAAGCTGGAGCGCGCTGCGTACCCGTTCTCCTTCGTTTGCTGATGCAAGTAAGCGGCAACAGTTGGAGAAAAACGATTGGAACGAACGATATGATACAGTCTCGTCGCGGTCGAAAGAAAAACGAAAAAAAGGCATGGCCCGAACCCATCCCCTTGACACGCCCCATTCATCCCCCCGAGCAGGGCGAGCTATTGTAGGCAGGGTGAATCAGGCTGATCATGGGACTTCAGGCGACACGCATTACTCTCGATGCATAACCGACAAGACTAACGGCACGTTTCATAGCAGACCGCAAAAAAAATTTAAAGCTAAGTGTGGCTGCCGTGGGAGGTTCGCAGTTGTGACCGCTCGGAAAAGAAGACACCTCGCGTGTGGTGATCTTTGGTATGGCACACTGCCTGCACTTCCCACGCGCTTCTCACTTGTGTCGCGATTTTGCTATGAGGTAGACCTGTGTACTCGACAGAGGGTTTTATTTATTTATTTTGCGCCCAACGGACGCGCCACAGTCAGTCAACTGATAGAGAACGCGGTAGGTGAACAAGGCAATATTGACTAAGAGAAGAGGAAAAAAAGAAATAAAAAGAAGTAAAATAGACAAACTTAAACAGAGCCGGCAGCCTGGGTTACGGGAAGAATGTTCCTGATTCAGATTCATTCACTTTCATACTGCATTACTGTAGTCAGTTACCTGAATTTCTAATGATTACATTACTTCAGGACTCAAACTGTTTATCGACGGCGCCGTATTACTGTTTTACAACCGGCGACTTCCGCAACTCTCTGCATCCCGGACTCATCCCAATACACACGGCCTACATCAAGGAGCACAATCGACTCGCTGCTCTTTTGAAGAAAAGCAACCCATCCTGGACTGACGAGCGTGTGTTCCAGGTGAGAAGTCATATAGTCATTTATTTATATTGTATAATCATAAAGGTCATTTTTTAGCCTAGGAAGGTCAAAAACCCCCTTCGGTATTAGTTTTGAGGTAAAAAAAACCGTTCAAAAGCAATTTTCAACTTGAAGGTGATTGCTCGCTTTTGCGTGCAGCAAGGTGAACTAACTGCTCAATGCGGTTGAGTACAGCTATCTGGCGTGATTGAAAAATCCAGTGTTTACGGCAGAAAATTATTGTGGTTCTTTACACGACGCGATTACAGAAGGCAACACTCCCGGCTCATCATATAGGCGGGCCCAGACCCATCATGGTGTTTATTCATTGGTGGTCACTTTTCCATCACTATTGGATGGTTACTTTACTAGGTAGTAGGTGCTGGGAAGAGATAAACCGGTAAGATTTTTCGGCGTTCATGGCTCCCTGCTTTCTCCGCCCATCCGATTATCGGGGAATGTGCCTTTGAAAAATGAGCGACTCTGTATAGAGAGTTCACATTTGAATAATGCTCATTTCGCCCTACTTTCACTCCCAACTCGCCTTGTTTTTTTTGACCGTTTAATCCTGGACGGGAATAGCATATCGCTGGAAGTGATTCTATGCGACAACTGTGCCTATGATTGAATTGATGAATTTTTCTTCCTGTCTTCAATTTTCATATTGTTTTTTTAGGAAGCTCGTCGTGTGAACATCGCCCAATATCAGCATCAAGTCTACTCCGAGTATCTTCCATTGGTTATCGGCAATAAACTCTGGAATGACTTCAAGTTAAAACCGTTAAAATCTGGATTTAGTACTGGTGAATTTAACTGACTTTCATTTTGATTTCCCTGAAAGTAATAATTACCTGCTCAGATTATTCCTCCCTCTGTGAACGCCGCTCTTTCGGCTGAATTCGCCGGTGCCGCTTTCCGATTTGGACATGGCACCGCGAGAAAGGATTTCCCGAGGTAAAAATTCGAACTTGAAACTTTTTTTCGACGGGATTTGGTCTTCAGATTTCGTTGTTACGAAGGGAGAAGGCGAGGGTCGTACTTAATGAATGAGTTTTTCATCGCCATTTGGTACGCTCTGTAATCCGGAGATAGGAAGGGCGTGGCTTCGTACTTCACCTTGGCATGACGTTTTTCATGCGAATTTTCCACTTGAGGCAACGATCACCCTACATTGCGTTGGACAAAAACATGTGAACAGCTCTCCCAAAACGGTCATATTACAGAAAGCGCAGCCGCAACCCTTTCAAATGAAGTACGCGGCCACGCCCATCCCTTCTCCGAAATCTGGAGTGTACTCTGCCGCGATATCTAACCATCGCTGCGGCATCCATCCATAATTTACCATAGAAATGATATTCTACGGTCTGATGACGGCTTTCTTATAGGGTTACCAATGGTAACAAGACGGCTGGTACGACAGTTGACATCGGCAGTAACATCTTCTACGTGGATTCCCACTATGCAGCCAATCAAGGAGGACAGGCATCCTTCATTGAGGGTAAATTCTTGCTAGGCATTGAATTTTCTTTAGCAAAAACGGAGCATAATAGACAAGTCTAAAGAGACAGGTGACTGATCAAATATCATGGAGAAAAGATGAGCACCACCTTAATATGGTAGGCTAGGTAGGTAAGTTCTTTGCAAAAACCCGGGACTAGAAACCACGGCAACGGCTCACAATTGGACCCAAGGGGCGCTTTTTGTCGACGGGGGGGCATTTTGTATTACCATTGCTTCCCTAGTATCTGTTTAGCAAGTTCCTCTGGGTACATGTAAACGCTTGTGAAGCTGGAATAAGATCGTCTAGCCACCATCCTGAAACGTGTCAACTCGAGAAAAGGCTACCTAGATGGGTCGGCACGTCTATGGAAAGCAGAATGCCCCCCCCCGTCGACAAACTGCGCCGACCGCGAAGTATCGGCCGCGTGATATGTGGCAGCCTAGAGGCTCCTCATACAAAATAATAAGTAAAAGTCTTCGCGGCAGAGAACGGGTTTAGTGCCGTGGCACACTCATATTTGCCTGACACGCCCCTGATCCGCAGCGAACTATATGGAACACTAAAACAAATTTGATCAATCACTTGTAATTTGAGGAGGGTCACAAGGCCGCTTTTCCATCGTGAAACTCTTCGTGGTGTTCTTTGAAAAGGTGCACCCCTACATTCTGAAAATGTGTGAGATGAACTGAAGAATGGGCTATCGAAAATATTGTGAATGAGCTGAAAGAATGCGCTACTCTAAGCATTCGTCTTTCAGGAATGATGCAATATCCTGCAATGAAATCCGACAAGGAGTTCTCATTCCCTATCAGAAATCAGCTGTTTCGAAATCCGGGGCCAACCGGGATCTGGCGTGGATTTGGTGGCGGTAAACATCATGCGAGGGCGAGATATTGGCCTCTCTCCATACAACGAGTACAGGTAAGGAGTAGAGTTACTTCATCTTTCAGAAGGTTTGGTAATTACTGTAATCTTTACTTTGCTGAGTGCTCAGTTGGAACTACATAGTTTTTCAAGTTTATCATAATCAGGATTTATCAAGTCTTTTACAGAACCCTAGTTGGGCTGAAAAAGGCATCGAGTTTTGATGACCTTCGGTCTGAAATGGACTCTTCGAACGTGGAAGCATTGAAGAAAGTCTACGCCGATGTGAACGACATCGATCTTTACACGGGCATCATCCTTGAGAGACCTCTGTCAGATGGAGCTGTAAGGAACCTTCCAACGGTTTTCACTCCCGTCCACTATTCATTTCCTTCGTTCTAGATTGGGCCCACTGGAGCATACATAATCGCCGAGCAGTTCTCAGCCTTGAAGAAAGGAGACCGATTCTTCTATGAGCATCAAGTGGCATCGACGAGAGGACTGAAGCCTGGTACTGTAATTTTTTGACTCAATTCAAAATGAGTTTGTTGGTTCTCAACAGGGAAGTTTCACCCTCATGGACGTAGGGAATGAAGGATCAGCCAAGAGTTTGAAAGAGTACTCTGTGCACGAATTTTCCATCTGAACGAGTCTTTATGCTCAATTCGTCAACCTACAAGCTTCTCTCCATCGCGCTGAGGAGTCCCAACCTGCAGCGTGCACTATTTTCCATCTTTTTCTATCTTTTTCCCCTCAATATATGATCTATTGAGAGCCTGCAAAAAACCTATCATGGAGTCAATGAGAAGCAAATCATACTGTCTCCACAAGGAGGGTACAGCTAGTACACTTGCCAATGATAGGGCGTGAGGGGGCGTGGA